AGCTATTTGTGCAGTTGTACAGTTTAAAGTTATTCTGTGCACTTAAAGAAATAACTTCAAAAGGATATTTATGCCATGCCTTCTCTTTTGATTTTGATATTTTTTTGTTATGTCAAAACAAAACCCATTTCCTGATATGAATAAAAAAGCAAAGAGCCTTTTAAATGTTACGAAAGAAATATATACTGTTTATTGTCTTTCTGGTCATTGTTATATTCTTTTTTACTATTAATTGCTTGTTAAAATTTTTGCCTCAGACTGATATTGAAATCATACATAAGGAAGAAGTTGCAGATCTCATCTACAAGGAACTCGAACACCTTCCTGATGTTTATAAATATCCACAAGCACAAGGTAATCATATTTACGAATCCATTAGAAACATTGGAAATCAACAATTTCATGCTGGAACCTTGAGAAGTCTTTGGAAAGAATCTAATTCTTGGATTTTATCTAACACAATAACGAACATATCTAGTCCTAATTTGGGCAGGATCTTAAAAGCACTGAGCACAGCTAGAATTACAAGTGCAGACATAGATACAAGAGGGACACAGCTCAAATTATTATTAACTTTAACTGTAAGATTGTTACGATTAGTAAGATATTTTAGATTGATTAATAGTTTTTAGGGTGACCAGCAAATTGTCTTTAAGCCTAAATGGTATAATAAAGAAAAAATTATTGAAGGCCCTGTTTATGCAGGCAAGGATCGATATCAGTCTGAAATAATAGGTTTTTATTTATCCATTTTACTTCAAAAACCTTTGGTGCCAATGTCTGCAGAGAGGATATTATCATTAAAGTATGATATACTACCTGTTGCCACAAAAAGACTCTTAAACACTAGTTTTGATCGAAATAATAGAACTTGTATATATGGAAAATGCTTTTATTGTAAAAAAGAAGATCCAATATGTGATGATGAAAATGACAAATTAACGGGTGCTGTAATATTTAACATTAATAAATCCTTTAAAAGTTATAGATCTCCATGGCAAAGGACTTATAAAAAAGGTAAACAAGCAGAATGGGAGGAAAGCAATAACTATTGCCAGTAAGAATCAAGAGCCATAATTAATTTTTTATTATTTCTTCTTTTTTTTTAGGTCACTTCAAACCAAGCTAACAAAAAACCGCCTTCTAGATTTGATTGATACTTCAATATTTGATTTTTTAATACAAAACGGTGACCGTCATCATTATGAGATTCTAAGTGATAAAGTTATATGGGTTGACAATGGTAAAGGTCTAGGAAACCCATATATTCAGTTTATAGATATTCTAGCACCATTATATCAGTGCTGTATGTGAGTATCTACTTAAATTTAGATAGTGATATAGATAAAGTAAGTTTAATTATTATATTTTCTTTTAATAGGATCCGAGACAAAATGTTTAAAAGTTTACTAAATTTAAGTGGGGGTCAATTATCAAGAAAATTAAAATTAATGCCTCAAATTGATAATTTTTTAACAAGTGAGCATTTAAAGTCTATGGAAGAGAGGCTTATGTTGATATTTGCAGCTATTGAATATTGTAAAACCAAGATTAAGATAAAAAGTATTAATTAACTATTAAATATTTCCAATAAATTTGTTTTAATAATGTATTATTCATTTTGTATTTTTTTGTATATACCTATAGTCATTTTATATAAGTTTACAATAAAACTCTTATCTACTTGCTATTTTTACTGATATCAGAGACACATTAAATTCTTTTTCTTATTAAATTTATTTTAAACTTGTTGAAGCCTGGCGCATCCGCCACGACATCAGGAAAAAAATACTTTTTATTTTTTTTTATTTAAATGAAAAACAAAAAATCCGGCGACAACAGTTTTTAGAAGAGCCAATTAGCTATCTTTTAGTAAAAAAGCAACTTTCTAGAGCAAGTCGTTACTTCAGTAGAGATGACACAGATAAACATTAGCATTTTATATATTGTAGACTAGTTGAAGCCTGGCGCATCCGCCACGACATCAGGAAAAGAATACTTTTTATTTTTTTTTTAATTCAACGAAAAACAAAAAATCCGGCGACAACAGTTTTCAGAAGAGCCAATTAGCTATCTTTTAGTAAAAATGCAACTTTCTAGAGCAAGTCGTTACTTCAGTAGAGATGACACAGATAAACATTAGCATTTTATATATTGTAGCTGTGATTGTAGACTAGTTGAAGCCTGGCGCATCCGCCACGACATCAGGAAAAAAATACTTTTTATTTTTTTTTTAATTCAATGAAAAACAAAAAATCCGGCGACAACAGTTTTCAGAAGAGCCAATTAGCTATCTTTTAGTAAAAAGCAACTTTCTAGAGCAAGTCGTTACTTCAGTAGAGATGACACAGATAAACATTAGCATTTTATATATTACTAGTTGAAGCCTGGCGCATCCGCCACGACATCAGGAAAAAAATACTTTTTATTTTTTTTTAATTAAATGAAAATCAAAAAATCCGGCGACGACAGTTTTTAGAAGAGCCAATTAGCTATCTTTTAGTAAAAAAAGCAACTTTCTAGAGCAAGTCGTTACTTCAGTAGAGACGACACAGATAAACATTAGCATTTTATATATGTAGACTAGTTGAAGCCTGGCACATCCGCCACGACATCAGCAAAAAAATACTTTTTATTTTTTTTTTAATTAAATGAAAATCAAAAAATCCGGCGACGACAGTTTTTAGAAGAGCCAATTAGCTATCTTTTAGTAAAAAAAGCAACTTTCTAGAGCAAGTCGTTACTTCAGTAGAGACGACACAGATAAACATTAGCATTTTATATATGTAGACTAGTTGAAGCCTGGCACATCCGCCACGACATCAGCAAAAAAATACTTTTTATTTTTTTTTTAATTAAATGAAAATCAAAAAATCCGGCGACGACAGTTTTTAGAAGAGCCAATTAGCCATCTTTTAGTAAAAAAGCAACTTTCTAGAGCAAGTCGTTACTTCAGTAGAGACGACACAGATAAACATTAGCATTTTATATATGTAGACTAGTTGAAGCCTGGCACATCCGCCACGACATCAGGAAAAAAATACTTTTTATTTTTTTTTTAATTAAATGAAAATCAAAAAATACGGCGACGACAGTTTTTAGAAGAGCCAATTAGCTATCTTTTAGTAAAAAAAGCAACTTTCTACAGCAAGTCGTTACTTCAGTAGAGACGACACAGATAAACATTAGCATTTTATATATGTAGACGCGTGTAGATGTAGATATAGTTAAAAGAACTTAATTTTTTTCTTTACACAAAATAGTCAGAACAAAATATTCGTTCTCTCTACTTTGTAACTGTGTTTGTAACTTTTGAAAAACAAGGATAAGAAATGCTCAAGGATATGTTATTTCTAGTTTACAGCGTTTTCAGATGGAGCGGAGCGTCCGCGACTTCGGCGAGCAAGTACATATCATGAGTTAATATGAACGATTTCACATGGGTCGCGTATGCTCCGTCCGAATGAGCTATATTGAAAAAAACATCCGCGTGGACGGTCCGCTCCATTTGAAAGCGCTGTTATTATTTTATGTCTTTAACTGCAAAGAAAAAAAATACTTCTCTTTTTCTGTTTTGCGTGAACCGTTATATACATATTTGATATCAGAATAAAAAGATCTTTAAAAAAAACTTAAAAATATACAGGATGGTCCATTAAAAAACTGTGAAGTTATACAGGGTGTCCCAGAAATAAGTGCATGTAATTTAAGGGGTAGTAGATCTCGATAAAAGAAACATATTTTCTCTTTATCGTTTTTCAAATAAGTTCAAAATAACGGAGTTATTTTACTTTGAAAATTTCCAAAAAACACTTTTTGCTAAAATTTTGAGAACCACTGGATCTTTTCTGGATTTTCTTTCTTGTAAATTTAATCTACTACCTGTTGCCATATTGTCGATAAATTATGTTTTTTGACTAAAAACTAAAAAAAATCCAATTTTTTTTTCAAAAAATTCCGAATTAAGGTTTTTTTTGCGCGAAAGAAACCTCATAGGCGTCTTTCTGGGGTTGAACTATACTCTCAGTTAAAATACTTGCACTTATTTCTGGGACACCCCGTATAATATATAACTCTTTGATCGTCTTCTATTTATTTTTATATCACTTTCTGGTGGTTCAGGTAAAACCTTACGACATACATATAAAGCTCTTTACTACCTGAAATAGTAGATAAACCTCAGTATCACACTTAAATCAAATAATATTCTAAATAATCATTAAATGTTGCTGAAAACTCTGTATTTGGTCATAGAGAAAAGTGTATTTGTTTTTTTTGTTACTTTTTTAGGGTGATAGCGGATAAAAACATACTATGTGCACAGGTATGTGTATTGATTTTTTTGTTGGTGAGACAATATGATTAACACCGTATGCATTCTTAAATTCTAGCTTAGTTTATTTTATAAAAATATACTTTTGTATATCGCGCTCTTTAAATTGTCTAATTTCCGGAAGTTTTCTGTCATATTCAATTCCTCATTCTGTCCTTTTCAAATAATTTTTGATCGTTTATTTGAGTTTATTCTAGCATTTTTATCCTTTGATTTCCCATATTATCTTCTGGTGTTGTAAAAAGCGTATACATTATTTTTATTTTTAATTATGGAATGTGTATGCTCCTACATATGCTTATTGATGGTATGCTGATGGTATGTATAACAGATTTGATTTTTTCAGTCTTTGTGAATAATTACATATTTTTTATTTTTTAAAATAACTCCTTTTCATAATTATACGTTTATTAACAATCACACAAGGCTTAGTTCTTTTAGAGATTCACAAAAACTTTTCCGTTACAGAAAACATTTCGTACGTCCCTGTACTCTGTAACGTAACCTCATTTTATTCTCTCTTTTATAACCTTACTTATTCTTTTCTGTGAACCATACTGTGAACCCTTGCCTTCATCATTAAAAATTAATTTATTATAAAAATGATTTTCAGAAATAATTATACAACATATAAAAACATGATTCTATCTTATAGAAGTATTTTTCAGCGCGAAGTCATTAGATGTCAACCAAAATTACTCTTACAAACATACCAGCAAAGTTTAACAGATAGTTTACCAGTTATTATGAAAAGGAAAGGCAATTCTCTAAATCTAGTCGATGTATTAAATAGAGTGAATAATACTAATACAGAATCAAAATGTTTGACTGTCGAAGAACTGATAAAGGAATATGGGAATTCTGGAAACATTACGCAAGAAATAAAGAGAGTACTAAAGCACGAATTCAAATTAGACATTGAAATAGAAAAAACCTTTACATATTCCAAGCATATATGGTTATGTAAATTAAATCTGGGTAGTTTTACTAAAGAAATTTTTGAAGGTGTAGGTGTTACAAAACAAACGGCAGAGCTTAATAGTCGACTGGCTGCTTTATTATGGTTAAAACAATTATGTCCTGTACGCAAAGTTCAACCTAACATTTTAGTTCAAATACATGAAAATAATAGAATTGTGGAACTTTTTAATGGATCTAATGGTAAATCAATACTACCAAACGATAATCAAAAACTATCTGGAAGAAAAGTTGAATCCACAGGAATAAGTAAAATGTTAGAAGATATTGTTATTCAGAATAATCTGAACTCAGTATCTGATGTAAATGGTCAGAATTATTGTACAAATAAATTAATTAAGGAACCTTTTAAATTAGAGACAGTACAAACTAAAGAGAAAAAAAAGAAATCTAAAAGGAAGAATAGTACTAGTGGAAAGAAAAAGATTTCAAGTGATCTAGCTGCAAGTAGTCAAAGTTGTAAATCTCTTGTAAAACCAACCACTTCTGTATCAAATATACAGAAAAGACTGCACAGTATTAAAGTTAGTGGAAGTAGCAAAGAGTGTTATAATGAAAATAGTTCATTACTTTTAGAACCAAAAATTTTAGAGGATATAATTGACTCTTCAAATGTAGATCAACTTACACCTAAACCGTCAGATTGTAAACATATTATTTTAAGAAATGTTACAAAAACATCAGATATTAATTTCAGAGATATTTACAAAAAATATCCATACCCAAAAGATACCTTACATAAATTTTATGATATATTGGTAAGTGATTTACGGAATAAATCGTTACAATTGTCAAGTTCATGCAAAATAACTGGTAGTAGTAATGAAGTAGAATGGGTTTTTACTTATAACTTAAAGTGGCCAGAGAATGTAAAGGTGACTGTTCATCATCCTAGGAAAAAACAAGCAAGTTTATATGCTGCACTCAGGTCCCTAGCTTTCATCAATGAATCTGGTTTAGACATCAGTCGTAAAGGGAGACCATTAATCAACAGAAATGATGTTGCAAGTTATTTTGCTAAACCAGATATTTCAGCATCAATACTGAATATAGGGAGTTGTAATAAAAGTATATCTTCTGAGCAGACTTCTGTTTTAAATACACAAAAAAGGATGTACAGTGTCAAAACAAGGGAAGATAGTAAAGAGAGTAGCAATGAAAAAGAATCAGTACTTATAGAACCAAAAAAAGTAGAAGTTAATATCAAAGCTTCAAATAATGAACAACAAATTGATAGTAACAATAATGATAGGAATGGTACTCCGAATATTAATTTACATTCCTTACCAAAGTCTTCAGAATGCAGACATATAACAGTGAAAAATATTACTCCTGAATTATCCACTCTCAAAGAAATTTATAAAAAATACCCACTCCCAAAACAAACCTTATGTAATTTTTTCCAATCTTTGTCGACTGAGTTAAAAAATCCATCTCTAATATTATCCACATCTTACAGAAGAATTGGTAGTGGCAAGAATGAGGATTGTATTTTTACTTATAACTTAAAATGGCCAGAGAATGTGAAAGTTAGTGTTCAGCACGCTAGCAAAAAACAGGCCAGTTTATATTCTGCTCTGAAGTCTTTAGCTTACCTCCTTGAAACTGGTAAAATCACACCTGATGGGAAGCCTTTAATCTACACTAATGATGAGATAAAAAAGTTGGTACAAAAAAAGGATAAAACGCTCAATATAAAAATTGAAAGTCTCCAAAAAATGCAAGAGATTAATCAGGTCTTCCAAACTTATATTAGACCCCTTATTGCAAATGTTGATTACAATTATGATGGAAAAATTTCCGATTTAGCAGATGACTCTGATGATTTAGATGTTCATTTGAGGAGAAATCCAAAATATATTTCAGGAGAAGCATATATGGCGAAAGAAAAAAATCATTTACCAGTCTCAGATTTTAAGTAATTAAACAGTTCTTGTATGCAATATCTAAGTAGGTAAAATTATTTAAATTTTAGGGAACAGTTTATGGATTTAATTAAATCTAATAACTGTGTAATAGTTAAAGGACAGCCTGGTTGTGGTAAATCTACAAGAATACCTCAGTATGTTTTAGAATCCTGGGCCAAGGATTCAGACGATAATGATTTGTGTCGAATAGCAGTAACTCAGCCAAGAAGAATAGCTGCAATTTCACTGTCGGAGAGGGTTTCAGATGAAAGGGACGAAATGGTAAAGTTTTTGAATTTCAGATTTAATAATACTCTAATTAGATATGGTCAAATGTAGGTAATCAAGCTTTATTAATATTTTTTAAATTTTAACACTAGACCCCGTTTCCCTTAGTCGACGCGGTGTCGATTCGACGGTCGAGCATTCCGTTTACTCTGGAACCGACTTCGTGTGGACATTTGTGTCGACGTCTACCTACCCGAGATGCACACTCGCACGTTCGACCATTTTTTGGTCAGGTTAAGGTGCGATTTCCTAGCGACGCGAAGTCAGGCGCCTGCGTCTCGACGCACACTTGGTTCGTCTTTTGAGCGTATGTGACTAAACCTGTATATCAATAAAAGTAATGTATCGCTTTAGGCTAAGAACATAGTCGAGCGACGAGGCTAGCGGCAAGTAAGCAGCGCGACATTGCGACAAAACAAACCTGTGAAGACAAGTACGTGTGAACATAGTAAAGCGATCTGCTGCGATCATCGGTTAGATCGAGCGGTGAGATCGATTCAAATAATTTTGTTTTCGTCGCTCTGTCGCGCTGTAGAAAATGATGTAAGAAAGATTTTATGGGATCAGAAAGATAGTAATCACCATAACCAGTACATTTTAGATAACTTATGAGATGAAGTGGCAACAAATTTTCGTAATAGTTATAAAACTTGCCATACCCTCTCCGGTTTTAGAAAATTTCATGTACACTACATCTTCTGGTTTGTTGGTTTCAAATCAACCAAATGTTTGCGAAACTACTAATAATAATAGCTTCCGTATATAGCGTTTAACGCGTTGGGAGTAGCAAGGTATAGCTTGCTATGCTAGAGCCGTTCAGTATACAGGGAAGATAATGTGGCTAGTACTACGCTTCAACCGGGTACGCTTCTTCTAGTCACTCTAAAAAACCTTGCCCTTAAATTTTAAAGCGTCGCCCGTCGGTATTCCAGTGCCGGACCTTGGCACAGCAGATGCTCTATGGTTTCTTCTTCCTCTCCGCATTCTCTGCAGTAGTCGTCGCTGGAAATCTTCCATCTCACGAAGTGAGTGGAGGTTTTCGTGGGGCAGTTTCCAGTGATATACAATTATGCTCTAATAGTTTTGTCTTTTCGCTATCTACCACTGGCTACTGTCTTCGAGCTGTAGCCCAGTCCTCACAGTGTTGCCACTCTCTTGCTGCTTGGCCTTGATGGTAGTTTCTATAGCTTCCTTCAGTGTGTTGATCGTCACAAGTCACAAGTGGTGGGTCATCTGCGACGGCCTCTCCCCTGGCCCCCTCTTTGGCAAGTCTGTCCGCTTCTTGGTTGCTTGGTTGTCCGCTTCGTGGTTCACATTGCTGTGGCCTGGCAGCACAGAGTAAATGTTTCAGCATCCTAACAAGCAATGCCTGACCTAACATAACTGGCCGCTTCCTTTATAGCGTAAATCTCTGCTTGTAGAACATTACAGCTATCCGATAGCATTTCACCGAAGATCGTCGGATGTTTAGTTCCTCTGAGAAGATGCCGATACCTGCGCCTCCTGACGTTACAGAAGCATCTGTGTAGACTGCTATCTCTTGAGTATTCATTACTTGCTTCTTGGTTGCTGTTATTGGTTTTCTGGTCTAGCAGATGTGGACTCGTGTTCGCCATGATTATTTCTACCATTGGCAAAATCCTCGAGTGACCGTAGTTGATCTGGTTCCACAGATTGGATTCCCTTAATTTTAGGGGAATCCAATCTCTGGAACCTCTTCTAATCTTAATAAAGACCAAACTTTTCAAGTTGCTGTGCCGCACTGCGCCCCTTATTGTAAACGGTAGGTCGATACAGTGTGAACAGCACTGTGGAACAGCAGCATTTATATACATGGGGTGATAGGCATAAGCTCACGGTAAAGCCGGTCCTACACGATGTATCCAACGTTGGAAGCAACATTTGGCACAGTTTTCGACAATGTTATACAATACTCATAATTGGCAAGTCTGTCTCCCACACGATGTGGCGAATGTCCATGTGTCCAACGGTGGAAGGTGTTTGCCACATCGTGTAGGACCGGCTTAATCTTGCGTCATATCAAAGTTTAGAGAATTTATAATTCTGTAAACTTTGGTCATGCTGTTGAACTATTCAAATATACAGAACTATTCGTCCACTCGCGTCGAATGTAAAGTCGCTGTGTGAACGGGGTCTTAATAACGAACCGTTTTTGACCAATAAAATATTTTCTAAAGTATCTTTTCTCACTGCTATTAAGTTACGCTATTAAAAGTGGACCACTTTGTATAAAGCTCTATTATTTTAGGTAGGCGATATTGTGGGTTACCAAGTACGTCTAAAATCACAGTTTATACCGAAAACTGGAAGAATATTATATTGCACTACCGGCATTTTGCTCAGACGTCTTCAAAGTGATCCTAATTTATCCACATTTTCTCATGTTATTTTGGATGAAGCTCACGAAAGAGATTTGAACACAGACTTACTAATGAATTTATTAAAAAGGGCATTACAGGAAAATGACAAATTAAAAGTGATAGTGATGAGCGCAACTATAGATGCTGAAACATTTTCGCAGTATTTTAATGGGGCACCGATCTTTGAAGTGCCTGGATTTGCTTATCCTGTCCAACAAAATTATCTGGATAGCAGTAAATTCAATAATAGTAAAACATTGAATATGTGCAAAGGTGAAATTCCAAATGTGGTCCATGACGAAATAGCTAAGGTAAGTTCCCCATCTACACAACGTTTTACCTGTGAGTCTTACCTCTCCAATTGAAACTTATCAAGTAAAATGGAGATCAACGCGTCTCATCGCGCGATCATCACCCAGATCAACGCGATAAGGCGGGAGCGGCGAGGCGCGGCGCGGCAGCGGGAACGACGCGGGATCGAAATATTATGGCGAGGTATGATAGCATTCAGACCAAGACGGTCTGCCCCTCAATGAAAAGCGGGATTGCAGCGTTTTATTTTCTTGGCGCAGTATGCACAATTTTCTCGCGTCGCTTCGTTCCCGCGAGTTAGAACTGTAAAATTAGTGGTAAAAAGTACTTAATTTGCAGCTGCGGCGTTAGCATATGAAATTCTCCATAAGTTCTTCGGTAAATGTTAATATCATGAACCATTTTTTTTCGTTTCTGAAAACAATTTTTTTTTTCTAAAAATAACTACGATATGTCAAACCATGAGCGCCGACTTTTATAAAACCTCGTGGGTGCTCATCATATCAGGGTAAAAAATGTAACCAGTTTTCAGATTGTTACATTTGTTTTATTTATTACACTTTTTTATGACTAAAGAATACAAGGCATGTAACGCCCATATACAGGCTGCAGCAGAATTTGTGATGTTAGACGCCATTATTTTGTAAAAAATGTCTATATCTATGTGGCGGATTCATCTCTCCAAAAAAATCCTTTATGGGTATTTCGCCACTGCACTGCAAGAAAATATACAAAATAAAATAGTTATTTTTTAGACATTGCTTGTCAGAAGTTATAAAACTTCTTGTTAGAACGTCAGCGGTTTCTTGTAGACGTATCTGTTTTAAAAAAAGTAAAGTGTTCTCGAATAGTTGAATTTAAATATTTTAAATAGTTTTTTTTCTTTATTTTTTGTATTTTTTTTGCTTCCGACGACGGAAAGAGATAAACTTTCCGAAACGTTAAGCATTTTTTTCTTTGTTAGGTAAATTTGTAACTGTAAACATAACTTCTGACAAGCAGTGTCCGTTTAGGTTTAACGCAGAAGTGTTTACAAAAAATAACTATTTTATTTTGTAGATTTTCTTTCAGTGCAGTGGCGAAATACCCATAAAGGATTTTTTTGGAGCCATTTTTTTGGTTGTAACGAATGAGTCATCAACTGGTCATCAGCGGCAATTAGCGATTTTTAATAGTTTGTAGTTTTTTTATAATTTCCTGCTCTAATCATAAAGAATTTTCACTTCGTTCTGATTAGAGCAAGAAATTTTACTATCATAGGATTTAACCCCTTATTGCCGTGCAGAGTTTATTCAAGTTGTAGGGACCAGTTAGACCTACTATAATATTTGAAAATCCTAAAATTAAGAAATTGGCGCTTATCACGTTTTTCACCTGCACCCTTCAAATGAAATTTAAACTAGTGATGCCAACTCGTGAGATATTTCCCAATTCGTGGGAAATTTCGAGATCCAAAGAGAAAACGGAAATTTTGACTCAAAACGCCATATTCTTGGGAAATTCTAAAGTTCATGTATTATTCGTAAAAAATAGTTATTGTATACGCATTCAGCAAACTGAGTAAATTGAACCTTTTATAATGATAAAAGATACCTTTCTTTGAAAACCTCGAAGTTCAATTTTTGGCAAAAATTATATTTATAGCCCTCAATTATTATATTTAAGACCTCATAGTAATCTTTGTCATAATCTACTGTAAGACAAAATCGAATTATTTTGATTATTTCTCTATCTGGACTATTTTTTATTCGCAATTAATAGGAATAGAGCTCACTTAAAAAAGCTTTTTGTTTCTCCTGTGATAACAGGTTTTTGGCAAGGACTTTGGGTACTTACGAGGTTTTCAAAGAAAGGTATCATAAAGCATTATGGCAACTAAATACATCTAAATCTCTCACTCGGTAAAAATAAAATTTCGCGCATCGCCTATCGCGGTTCTAATACTTGTATTTCTTTATTCTACTACTTGCTGCGCTACGCAGCAAGTAGGCCCCCTAGGTGGCTATAGTCTTGGATGTCGTTTGTAGAAATCTTCCCTGGCCAAAAATAATCAAAAAGTCTAATAAATATGTGTCCGCGATGTCTTCGATTTTTAGATATATTTTTCAATAGAATCTATGATAATGTAATTATTGGAGTGAACATTTGTCTCTCTCTCCAGAATTTTTTAAGAATACCGAATTCGAATCTAGTCACATGTCTTTCTACTCCTTTGAACAATCACAACTTCTTAGTTTGGGCCTGTATATCTAATATAAATAATACTCCTTTAATTTTTACGTTAAAAAGGCAACTAGCGTCTAACCGGCACGGTATCACTGCTTGCAGCGTTGCCAGTTTTCACCATTTTGACCATTACGTTTTTAAAGAAGAAAAGACAAAAGACATGAAGATTACGATATTTACGAAAAAAACGATTTTAGATTAATTTTTGCATCTAGCCGGACCGTGAAACTTTACAACACGCAGTTCCGCATGCGCGATTACGATAATCGGTCGGGTATTTCACACGCCTACGGCGTATTTTGATTGCTATTTTCCTTTGAATAAGAAGACTAAGGAAGGAGCATAATGCTATCCATGTATTCATGCATGGTGGGCGGAAAAAGCTCTCTAGGGTAGGGATCCTTGACAGTTCTATTTAACGATTCATTTGACACATTTGAATTTGATTTGAAATGTTGTGGATTTGTCAGTCTTTACGGAGCTTATTTTATGTTATTTATTATTTATTCTACTACTGATAGTTCTATAAAGGTAGTAAATCTAGATGGAAATTGTGGCAGAACTTAAATTAACAGTGACATTATCGCGATTTATCAAAAAAGACTCTAAAATAGTTGGTTGTGTAGCGTGCGGTAGATCTTGGCAAAAATTGAGTGAAATAATGGAACAACTTTTCGCTAGTAAGTAACTATATAATATACATAACTATAGTAAACCGATCATTTATGAAATTCACTTAAATTAACTAAATCATATATTTTCTTGCATTTTAGCTTTTATTTACTACTTGTCAAAGATCAGATGTCAAAGAATTTTGATACGTTAATTTGACTTACCTTCAGTAGCGTATCGGATGTTAGTGTTAATAAATACTTATTATAACTTATCTATTTTTATTAGAATTATATATTTTTATAACAATTTTAATAACTACCAACATTTATTCACAACGTAAAATAAAATAACAAATTATTGAGTCTACCCCACATCTACCCTACATCATAGTTTTACATTTTTTAAATAAAATTAGAACGGCACTGATAAACCGGAATTTAAGTCGGCCATATTTGAGGCCCATCGCGGTGCACCTAAGATTTTTGATATGCTCCTTCCTTAGTCTTCTTATTCAAAGCTATTTTCCGATACCTGTAAATAAATAAAAACAGCTGTAAAAAAAATAAAAAGTTCTATATTTATGGGACACAAACCTGGGACCTCTCGATCCCGAAGCCACGGCCTTACCAATTGAGTCACAGCTGCTTATGTAGAAAGGCTATAGCTAGGTATTACTTACTTTCCGCCGTTCATAACGTAATAATAAGTACCATCTGAAAACAGCGCTAAAATTTCCAATGGTTTATACGTCATCCACGCCGCTGTGATACAGATGCTCAGTTTAGATGCTTTTAAAAAGGCATACCTATTAAAAGTTACAATCGTTTTTTGGATATATTTGGATTTGAAAAAGTTTCGATGCATATGATGCTTTATTACAAAATTTTTGAGTTTTTTGTCCATTATGCATTCATACACCGATATTTATCGAAAATAATAAATTTAAACGCATCTTGGTACAAAAGATTTGGTGTCAAGGGGGTAACATTTTTAGATTAAACGGAAGGCCTTGCAGACACATTTATACCGGGTATTGCATCGTCGAGCGGGACATAGGAAATCCCATGTAAATTTTAATGGGGCCAATTATTGGTTTCCCTAATTATTTTAGAGAATAATTCTATTTAGGTTTATTGAAGAGCACTAAAACCCACATTCAAAAGAATAACTTTAGATATTTTTGATTAGCCCGTTTACGAGTTATCGCCGATTTCTTTTTAAATATTTCTCCTTTCTTATGGCCCTGTATACTTATGAGCACCAGTCAATAACCGTCAAATGAAGTTGTCATTTCAGAAATGTATCTATTTAATGCTTTATTATTATTATTAAAAACTCATACCTACATCGAAAATATTAGCCATGAATTACACTACCGAAGAAAAAGTATTGATGATTAAATGGTATTATCAAGGAAATAGTTATCAAAAGGTGTCGGACATGTTTGCTGCTCTGTATCCGAATAGACCGATACCTGGAAAATCTACAATCGCAAGGAATATCCAGAGATTTGAGACCAAAGGTACCCTAATAAATAACTGCAGATGTGAAGCAAGGCAGGAACAAAGAGAAGATGCAAGAAATGATACCGACTTGGAAGTTTTATTGTGCGTGGAAGAGAACGATGGAAAGATCAGCACAAGGAAACTTGAGGATGAAATAGGAATAGATCACACTACAGCGTTTCGAATTTTGAAACGACATAAATACTATTCCTTCAAATATGAAAAGCACCAAGAGCTACGAGATGGGGACGAAATACGGCGGCAGGCGTTTTGTTTTGATATGATGGAAAGAGCAAACACGGATAGGGAATTTTTAAAAAACATATGTTTCACTGAAGAATGCACGTTTACCTTAAATAATGAACCCAATGTTCAAAATTATCGATATTGGAACAAAGAAAACCAACACAGGTTTGTCGAAACAAGGACGCAATATCCACAGAAACTAAATGTTTGGGCAGGGATATTCAGGCACTATATTATCGGGCCATTATTTCTTACGCGAAATTTAAATGCAGAATATTATTTGGAACTACTCGAAAATCATATTTTACCTGCCGCTAGGGAAAATATTTAGACAATAGTTTTAACGGAAACGTTATTGGCCTAAATCATACAGAAAATTGGCCAGCAGGGTCTCCTGATATTTCGCCAAATGATTTCTTTCTCTGGGGCCATTTAAAAAACAGGATATACAAGGATAAAAAATACCCAAATCTAGACGAGTTAAAAAATGCTATTTCTGCCGAATGCAACAGAATTTCAGTTTACCAACTAGTGAATATAGGAAGAGAATTTTATGATCGCCTGGGTTATTGTCTAGCAGTCGATGGAGGAATATTTGAACATCTTAAATCCTAAAGTTCTAACAATTTAATAGTACCTAAATTAATAAGTTATTGAATATTGTAATAATACTATAATTAACCTTGTAATTGATTACTTTATTTTACTTTAATTCATATTAATTTGTATTTATAAATACATCTTTAAGATTTCCGATGTAGGAATGAGTTTTCAATAATAATAAAGCACTAAATAGGTAAATTTCTTTTGACAGTTATCTTTTACCTTGACTGGTGCTCATAAGTAAATACAGGGCCATAAGAAGGGAGAAATATTTAAAAAGAAATCGGCGATAACTCGTAAACGAGCTAATCAAAAATATCTAAAGTTATTCTTTTGAATGTGGGTTTTAGTGCTCTTCAATAAACCTAAATAGAATTATTCTCTAAAATAATTAGGGAAACCAATAATTGACCCCATTAAAATTTACATGGGATTTCCTATGTCCCGTCCGACGATGCAATACCCGGTATAGACTTTTACGTTTATTTTATGGTCCTGAATACTAAAGGATTGATATGACCCTGTATGTAATTGATACAACCGTGGGTTAAAAAAGACTTTCATTTTTAACTGACAGGTAAAATGTTATGTGTAGGCTTGCAAGTTTAGTGTAAGTTATGATCATTGTAAACTTTCTTTAGGTGATAACATTTATTCATGAAAATAAACCGGAAGGTGCTATACTGGTATTTTTACCTGGCTGGGAGGATTTATCTAAAGTAGAAAAAATGCTAAGTTCTCTGAGAAATGCAACGGTGCATATATTACATTCGAAATTAAAAGATTCAGAGCAGTATAAAATCTTTTCGAAACCTCCGCGTGGAATAAGAAAAATAATATTGTCTACGAACATTGCGGAGACTTCTATAACCATAGATGACGTGGTGTATGTAGTCGATTCCGGAATACATAAAGATCAAGTATTTGATAATGAAAAAGGTAAAGTATGTATACTTGGATATTTATCTCATTCGACACGGAGTATTGTAGTCACAGATGTTTAGAAATTGTTAGTGATGGGATCGTTGGAGGACTATTAAAGCTACAATCTAAAATTATTTTCAAGCGGTACAGTTTGTCCCGAATAAAGAAAAAATATGAGTTGTATTTTTTAAATCGAACACCCTGTATATTATTACATTTTTAGTTTCTACGATTAAAATAAAGGTTTATCACACTTTAATCTTACCGTTTTTGAAATATTTACGATTTTGTGAAAATACAGTAACAATAATTTTAATGCTTTATTTATCTAGGTGTATTTTAAGGTTTTAAAATCAAATATTGTACTGAAGTTTTTCTATTTACCTAAATGTTGTGTTACAATAATAAAAATAATACTACCTTATACAGAGTGTAAAAAATATTTTAGATAATTACTAGCTTTAAACGGTAATAACTTGTTTAATTTAAATGGAACACTCTGTATATTTTACGAGAATCAATTGCATAATTTAATTGTCTATCAAATTGTATTATACCATTTGTATCTATCTCTTCAAGCTTTCGTAGTAAATGCATGTGCTTATAATTTAGACTTCGATTATCAATATACCCATGAAATATTGACATTTAAGATTATTTGTATTAAGATGTAACAAATTTTCAGAGAGTACAGATACTAATATTGTCTATATAGTTCGCTTATTGCATTAAAAAATTAAAAAAAAAATGTTTTAATGTACCAACTGTAAAAGACGACCAATTAATATGATTTCAGTATTCGCTATTCGCACTACATTAATTGACTGTTTGCATTGAATAATTGCTCCAAATACTAGAAAAACTGAATTTTATATGCAGTATGTGTATTTTTGTTTTATTAACATCTTATATATTTTATTTAATTTTTTGATGAATGCTTATTTATAACAACAGAAACGTTCACATTCATAACTTATTATTATATTGATTTCTGATTCAAATCCACATTTATTTAGAATAATTTATCACGTTTAAGTATATAATTAGTTAATATTTGAGTGTAAATAATAGTGGTATATTTAATTGGTATTGGTATACTCTTACAAAGATTTAAATATCTCTCTATACGCAGAAATGATATATAGATATAGAGAAATGATGCATTAAAACTGTTACTGCATTTTCACAAAATCGTAAAAATTTCAAACACGGTAAGATTAAAGTGTGGTAAACCTTAATCATATTTACCTTTATTTTAATCGTAGAAACTAAAAATGTAATAATATACAGGGTGTTCCATTTAAAAAAATACTGCTTTGATATTTTTTCTTCATTTGGGACACTGTACCTTTTGAAAATAATTTTAAATTATAGCTTTAGCAGTCTTTCAACTATTGCATCTCACAATTGCTAAAAATCCAATCATTTGGCCACAATACTCCGTGTCGAATGAGGTGAATAACCTTGTATAGGGTTTTTCACACAGTAAATATATTTTTGAATCTAATTTAGATACAAAACCAATATGGATTGGTTAAATTAATTATTATACAGGCTAATATGATAAAATATTGTTTTAGGGATAAGTGTGATAGATAAAGAATGGATATCCAAAGCCAGTGTGCGACAAAGATCAGGCAGAGCTGGAAGATGTGCGCCGGGAGAATCCTATCATATGTATACCGAAGAAAAATTTCAAACCTTTCAAGATTACAGTACACCAAAAATATTAAGTAAGTTCAAAGCAATTCAAAAAACGTTACAGTTAGTTTGATTTTAATATAATTTTTTAAACTTTTATAGATAGTTCATTGACAAAAGTTATACTTGATTCTAAAACGATTTCTGATATGTCCGCATGCGATTTTATGAATAGTCTGATAACCCCACCCGAAAAACAGGCTGTTGAAAGAGCAGTTGAAGAGTTAAAACAATTAGAATTATTGGACGATAATGAAAAATTGACTCCACTTGGTAGAACACTAGCTAATTTCCAACTTGAACCAAATTTGGCTAAGGTAAGTCTTTAGTGCTAATAAAAAATACCATTATTCATTGTTATTTCAAAGGTTACTCTGATACGTTTTTTTTGGTTCTGTGACTGGTATTGAATCAATATTATTTTCAGACCATGGTGAATAGTGTTATTTTTAAGTGTACAACGCCTATAGTTGATATCGTTACCTTATTTTCATCAGAAACGGAAATGTTTGGATCACTGACTTTAATGGATAAAGAGTCAATTAAAAGAGAGAAGGAAAGCTATTCTAAAAGTTCAGATCACTTAGCATTGATGAAAATATATGAAAAATGGCTAGAGTTTTTTGAAGAGGATGGTCTACGTGCTGCAAAAACATTTTGCCAAAGAATGAATTTGGTACACCATAAAATGGAATTCATAAACAGTAAGAATATGATAGTATTATATAATTATTATTATAATGTTTATTTTTTATTGATGTAACCAAAGGCATCTGGGAAAAGGCCGATTTACCATCCCCCTGCTCCTACTTCTAATCTGTGACGTTAGACGAAAAAACATTAAAAATATAAAAACCGCTAATAAACAGGGGCAAACTGGAAAATTATTAATTTTATTTTTTCACGCTGTTTTTTTGCTGTATTTTTTTGCGGACGAAAAGTTATTACCCTTTAAACAAGTTAAAAACATATGTAGGTAACTCCTATAGAAGTAAGTGTCATACTGACATTAAAGTCAAATTTCTCATATCAAGAAAAGTCTCCAAACACCAATGACTAAAGAATATAAGGGCATGTAACGCCCATATACGGGCTGCAGCAGAATTTGTGACCTTAGACGCCATTTTTTTGATTGCGTCAAATGAGTCATCATGCAGCGACAATTTTAGCGATTTTTAATAGTTTGTGTATACTGAACTTTGTATAAACTTTATTAGAATGGCGATTAGTTGTTCAGCTTTCAAGTGTAAAAGCCGCAGCGATAAGAAAGAGCCAGGAGTTACGTTTCATATGCAAATAAACAGTCCGCTCCACCTTTTTAGCATTTTCTTAGTTTTCTTATTGAATTCGATAATTATTTTTCTGATATTATATGTACTTGATGTGTGCTATATGTCGATACTAGTTTTGTACCTTTTGTTAACATTTTAATACGTTTTTTTCGTAATTAATTAGTATGATACCACCGTATACACTATAGGCGTAGTCAAAACAATTATCAAAAAATATAAATATCTCTTCAAAAAGCTAAGTTAAGAAAAATATGGCGGCACTGTTTGGTGACATCGTAACAATTTGCTCTCGGGTGTTATTTGTCCTTGAATTATTTAGTCATTGCTAGGCACCAATTTTCATCTAAATATCGATGATATTTCAGGAATTATTTGGAAAACCCCGAAATAAAAATGAAATTTCTACACCCTGTATCACCGATACGAAGTATTTTAGGACATATATTGATATAAACTTTTTAACTTATTTATATTTGCTGAATATGCTGCCGAAGTTTTCTGAATACAGTTCGGTCCACCTCGTATAATTATTAATAATTACTAGCATAAGTTAGTCAATACTAAGATTAACTAACTTGAGACTACTAAAAGTTTTATATTAGAGATCAACATCGTGGGTTGAACCTAACTAAGCTAGAAGATGGTAGCTCGAAGAAAATATATTGAACTTTAATATGTGAAAATTTTATGGTGCCTAGTTTTTCGTGCCAATCATTGTCTTATATTACAATGTTCTTTGTTCTTTTGATGTAAATATTAGTAGGTTTATAAATATTTGAAAAGGTGCGAAATTTCTAAACTCTGTCATATTATTAAAAACAAAATTCATGAAGTCTCTAACACCGCCCCGTCAAATTTCATTATATCTCCATAGAACCTTGTTAAGGCAAAATTAAATTGGATGTAACCATATTTAAATTTTTTAAATATATTGGCACCTAGTGGTGGAAGTAAATTTGTGAAATTGGGTTCTGTTGAATAAAAAGATGAAGGAAGGATTATATAAACAAAATTAGCATGATCGCCATAATATGACTGATTTAATTGTGGTGTATGAATGGCGTTCTATTTTATTTTAACGCGTAAAATTATAATATATATCCTCTATAATCCTCGTTCATTTACTTATTTTGTTTTACATAGGGTCAATTAATGTTATTAGTTATTAAAATTGTTAAAAAATATATTTCTAAAATAAGTTAATATAAGTAATAAAAAACACGTGATACGCGCGCGCGCTACTGGAACAACCTAGTGAAACTGATGTATCTTTTTTTTATTTATAAGTACAGAGTAGGTAAATAAAAAATGCAAGTTTAGAAATATAATTAGTTAGCCTAAATGTACCGTATGATCGAAAAAAAAACGGCGTCAAGTTAGCGTGGAAATGAACATCAATGACATTTCCCATATAATTTTACATATAAAATTACAGCGTTCTTCATTTCATAGTCATCGCTGACGCCATTTTTTTTTGATCATACGGTATTTTATAATTCACTGATTCATTTTCATTTTTTTTTATCTGGGAACAATGGAATTATTTTTTAAATCTCTCAAATTCACAATATTCTCGCTCTAACTCTTCCAAGTCCTGATACAATCTTTACATATATTTGTATACATTGTATAAAACCAATTATAAAATATGCAAGGAGTAATATAAAAGAAACTCAGATTTGTCCAACAAATCCGCAAAAATTCCAATGGGTCGTCAAATAAAATTGACAGAAGGTGGTATTTCCATCACATCATCACTTCCGCCTCTAATGTATGAGTAAAAAATATAAAAATTGTATTAGAATCCTTCCTTGGCCTTTTTATTCTGTAGTTAAAGCTTTGGTTAAAGTTAACATATTGAAACGTAACCTGTTGATGACCACAACGCTAATTTAGTAATTCTCTTATTTTAGAGTTGAAAGACATACATTATGGATATTTACGTAACGGATTATATAATTCAGTTCCTTTATCAGATGAATTCTCAGATAATGACGAATTAATTAAAGCTGTTCTTTATTCAGGAACAGGGAATGTTTTAATCCACAGGAATTGGGATATTCTAAAAAATCGTTTGAAAAGTAACGTTAACGTCTTACTTACTAGGTATATTATCTATAATCTATTTTTTTCTTTATATAATTTTGTATTATTTTATTTGCAGACATAATCATAAGGCGACTATAACTTCAGATAGTGTAAACCATAGAAGACGTGATTTTCCCTCAGATTTTTTGGTATACATTAACGAAACTAGGTCTAACATTAGAAGAGTTTCGACAGTTAGGGAATGCAGTTTAATTCCACCAATTTCAGTTTTGTTATTTAATAACAACAAATTAGAGATAACTCCCGTAAGCTGAAATTAATGAATTTTTTAATTTTTAATGTGTTTCTTTCTAGGTTCAGACCAGTGCTGATCAGGAAGTACCGGAGAATTTAGTATATGTCAGTATTAAGAATACAAATCTTAAATTTCTGCTGGACAAAGAGTAAGAACGTATTTATTATCCCAAATAAAAAATGTTTTATTTTTTATTATGCTTTTAGGAAAGCAGACATATTATGTGATTGTAAAAGTGCAATTGATTCTTCTTACAAATATTTGATACATCAGTTAACATATTCAGGAGATGATATACCTGAATTTCGTGCGTACTGGGACATTATTTTAGAAAACATTGATAGAATTTTGTCGAACGACTTGATTAAGTAGAATTATGTTTAAAAAATTGTTTTTCTAGAAGTTTTTTTTATAATTTGTTAAAGTGTTTCATACTTGTTATGTTTTTTCCTCCATGTATTATGTATTACTACTTGTACTGAGACTATATTTTGAAAATTAAAATTTTTCAAATAACTTACAAAATTAATTGTTTAAAAACCTGTTTTTCCAGGTATTTTTTATAATTCACTAGTGTTCAACTGTCGTTTTTTATTTAATAAAAAAAGTATAAAGATTCTTTAATAAAATACAAAATAATTTCTAAAAATATTTATTACATATGTTTATGTATTCAGAACTTTTTGAAACTTTTCTTTGAGCTACTGCTCTTTGTAACTTTTAGTACATTAAATCTAACTGTTTTTGAAAGTGGTCTGCATTCTCCAATCGTCACTACATCTCCAATTTCCACATCCCTAAAATAAAGACCCTTGTAAATATTTTTTCTATTATTAATTAAAAAATATATTACCTGAAGCATGGTGATAAATGTACTGACATATTACGATGTCTTTTCTCAAAACGATTATATTTCCTAATATAATGCAGGTAGTCACGACGGATAACAATTGTCCGTTGCATTTTCATTTTCTGTACCACACCAGTTAAGATTCGCCCACGGATTGAGACATTGCCAGTGAATGGACATTTCTTGTCAATATATGTACCATCAATAGCCTATTAAGTAATAATAGATATTATTTTTAATTGGTATGCAATAAATAAACAGAAATATATGCAAACATTCAAACTAATAAAACTTTGACAAATGAGACTGATTTTGCAAGTATTTCTGTAATAAAAATAAAATGTAAGTTTATCTTAAAAGAAAGTTCCAAAACCTAGTTTTAGTGTGGAAGGAAATATTAAGAAAATTGTGTAAGACCTGGTTAATGTATTTGATTACCATCACCATTACCATATTATAGTAAACATGCAAGTGACTACAGAAAGTACACCACCAAAATATACAATTCCTAAAATATCTTATATATAAAATAACCAAGTGACTAAGCTTAGATCCCAAATACCCTGCACCTTTTTAATGTAAAATTTAACAAACCTCCCGTGGTGTTTTAAACCCTAGCCCCACATTTCTTGATAACCGCAAAGACTTCTTTTTTTTGCCTAGTTTTCGGTTTTGAAAAACGGTGGGTTGCTTTTGGAACGCTTTTTCGGTCTAAAGGAACAAACAAAAAAATATTAGTATCAATAACATGTACCTCTCTTGGTGTTTTAAATCCTAATCCAACTTCTTTATGATAGCGTAAAGATTTCTTCTTCTTCGCTCCTGCGCCTTTTTTATGATTTAAAAATATAGTGGGTTGGCGTTGAAAAGCCCTTTCATTCTAGAAAATTGTTAAGTTTTATATTTCTTAGTTAATTGATGATTAAAACGACGGATTATGGACCACGTGTCTTAAAGTGCACGGGAATTTGTAACCTGTGGTACTCTAAATAATAACTCCTAAATAAAGAAATCATTACTGCTTGAATATATAAAAGAAAAAAAAAATAAAGAACGGTTATTAAAATACCTATTTTTTGGCAAATATTGAAAATATTAAATAAAAATATGAAATACTTACTTGATCCGCCATGTTGACAGTTTGAAAAGAACCCGCATCTGTCAAAATTGTCAAATGTCAAATGTTAACAATTGTTTGTCAAAATTATATATGATGAGTTGTTATATATGATGAGTAGCATTAAAAAAGGTTTAAACACAAATAGTTTCTTATAAAAATGTTTAAATAAGTCTAGGTAATATGAACGGTAAATAAATTTAGGGTAATGGTGTGGATCCGGTGGCTGACCTTGAAACGAGTTTTTGCTGCATATAGTCACAGACACTACGCATGCGCACATCTTCGATGTTGCCAGATTGCGAGTTATTTTGGAATTATTTTCAGTAGAAAACAAATATGTGCTTTTCAGTGTTTTTTTGTCAATATATACCGTATGATCGAAAAAACGGCGTCCAGTTGGCTGGGAAATGACGATTGAGGACATTTCCCATGTAAAATGACAGCGATCTTCATTTCATAGTCATCGGTGACGCTATTTTTTTTTATAGTATGCGGTATATTATTTATATTATTATTTTAATATTTCGCACAACACGTGAACGCTTATTATGTATTTTCATAGTCAATAAAATTATATAGAAATAAAACTCTAGATTCCTATCTAGATTATTATGTTACGTTTAAAAAGTGCTTTATTAAAAATTCGGGAAATTAAAAGGGATGTGTCCAAGTTTTTTCTTTTTTTTAAGCTGTAGCTCCATGTCATGTTCATAATAGGTTTTTTTTAACATTTCATCAAAACTACGGAGGCCTTAAAAGGCCTTTTAGCCTCCGTAATTAAAATTGTAGAATCAGCTTCAGCAACATTAACAGTTACCTTGTTTGAGTCTGCTTATACATATATTGCATTAATTTTTCTGCTACCTTAAGATTTCTCTATTCTTACACCTAATTTATGTGATTTTCTTAGCATATATGATTTATAAACCATATTTTTCCTAATGGAAGGATATGCAAAATTAAGATATTTTAACATTTATTTTCCAGACAAAGCATAATATAGTATTAAGATTAAGACATAACAAATATTATAAGAAAGATCTTAAAATAAGTCACAAATTAACTAAGTCTTGTATAAACACAGGTATAAAACTAATAAGATCAAAACTCAACCTTCGCCATATTGTCAAGATTTGGCATTATAGGAAACAAGAAATTACAGTAAATTAAGAAAAGAATATCAAAGTACACGATATTAAATACTGTAATGTATTTTACGATACAAACCATCTCCCTTCTAAAGAGAAAAAGATAAAACGTAAAGCTTATAATATATTAGTCTTATCACCATACTCTTCGATAAAATATATGTCTAAAATTGCTATTAATCCACTAACTTGATATTTTTAAGAAATTATGATACAAACATTATAATCAAAGTATATTATATTAGTAACATTATAGGTAAAATGTTACCTCTATCTCCCATTGACGTGTATTGTTCTATAGACTCGTCATGGTAATATTTCAAAACGTCAATATACATATAATGAAAACTATTGTTGCCTGTAAATAACTAGAAATTAAATAACTTGAAAGAAATAAAATAATTCTAATAAGTTTAAAACCATTAAGAAAAAAAAAATCCGTAAATGATAATTGTTAATTCTAATGTAAATATATAAATAAATGTTATTATTATGCAACCACTTCCATATCTCTGTTATTATTACGTACAATTTTATATATTCACAATACTTTCATTTCACAATCTTCATTATCCTTCTTACCTTAATTTTGGATATCAAGATAAATCTGAAATTATAAAATTAATTATAGAATTTGTATTATTATTGATTAACACTCAAAAAAAAAATTCAACTGCAAATAATTCGAAAATAAACTGCAATTTGGCAACATCGACGATGTGCGCTTGCGTGGTATCGATGATCAAAAGCAGCAAATATGGGCTTCAAGGTCAGCCACCGGATCCACACCTTTACCAAATTTATATTTGGCAGATTATTTTACTTGTGTTTTAAGCAAAGGTTTGGACGGGGCCTATTTTTTTAGCGTGTTTTTAGTTTGTATATTAGTTTAATGGCCACAGCTGCCAGGGCTATCCGGCCGGTTGGTAGAATTAACTACCTACGATTGAGCGTTTATTATAAAGCGAGCCATGGGAAATCCCATACCCCCACTGTTGAGTAGAAGAAAATGTTGCCAAAGGAAGAACCTGCAAAAAATTTAATAACAATTTTATTTAAAAAATGGGCGCGATGGGCGCGTTCAGGGCTGCGACGGTCAGCGGCTGAGTAGCTGAGTAAGCGGTTTCCCTAAAGGGTCTCTTTTTACACGCAGTGTAAAATACTCAGCGGTCGGTTAGCCGCTGTGTTCCCTGAACGCGCACATTGTTACGATCAAAGGTTACGATTAATTCCACAACCGGTAATGGTGTGGATCCATGGTACAAAGAAAACAAGATAGGATCGATAGCGGCTCCAATTTCGTTAAGTTTGCGCATACCACCTGTGACGTCATACGCCATACAAAAAAATAGTCATATTGTCCAATTGCCACTAATAAAAAAAGACCTAAAATAGGGAAGAATTAGGACATAACCCCAAAAGTTATGTCAAATCATCGAGCTTGACACTTGAAAAATTATTTTCACATTTATTATGTCATCTGTTTGACAATTTGAAATTGGCGCGCAGAGCTTACACCAATGGTGCCGCTGCTGCTTATCACCTGTACGTAGACTAACCTGCGCAATATCATACCTTGTATCACAGAATATCTAGCTACGCAACAGAAAAATACTCGAAATGAAAGAGCTAAAATTGCACAAATAGAATACTAGATGGCGCGACAATATCATAATCAGAATATAATTAGAAATTTTGAACTTTTGGTTTTGGATCGACGGCTCGTCGACGGCCTTATAGATCGGCTAAATACGCACAGTTGCCAGATTCAAAAAGACTTGAATTGGCATCCCATTCTTTTTATTGTGTATAATGCAGTATGCGTTTCTTTCTATTCTTCTTTTCTTGTCAGATACACTTATATTAATTATTCCTTTGGCTATTAAAAAGTTTTAAGTATATTATTACAAAACATATACATTTTTAATATACACTAACTTATAACGTTAACTAAGAAAATACCTTTAATTACCTTTAAAATTAATAATATACAGGGCGATTGATAGTGATATTTATTAATGCTGGAACGTTAGTAATGAAATATAAGTTTAATAATAATGGAAATAATTTATTAAAATGCAGTACAAAAAATGTTAACTGACTAAAAAATACTATAACAAATTACTTCCGTTTGCCACGTTATTTATATAGACCTAGGTAGATTTTAAAAAGTGACACAGATACAATTAATAATATATTAGTTCGGCATAAAAGTTGCTGTCACGACATCGAACAATAAATTAAAATTCGTAAAATAAATTAAAATTATAAAGATTTGTTTCTTTATAAAGAAACGCAAGTATACCAAATTTGGGCCCAATCGAACTCCAGGAAATGATATCATAATAGTGTACTATATTATGGTACCACTCGATATGCTTTAAGGTACCATAATATTGCAATGTCACCGAAGATCCGTAGTATACCAAATTTAAGAACAATCGAACGCCATGAAATGTATCGTAATATGGTACTATATTAAGGTACCACTTTATATACATCATAGTTCAATCATATTACAATGTAACCGAAGATACGTAGTATACCAAGTTTAAGCCCAATCGAACGCCATGTACGTAATATAGTACTATATTATGGTACCAGTTGATATGCTTCATGGTACCATAATAATGCAATGTCATCAAAAATACGCAAGTATATATCAAATACGAGCTCAATCGAACGCCAGGAAATGGTATTGAAATATGGTACTATATTCAGGTACCACTTTATATGCATCATAGTACCATCATATTACAATGTAACCGAAGATACGTAGTATAACAAGTTTAAGTCCAATCGAACGCCAGGAAATGGTATCGTAATATGGTACTATCTTATGGTACCTCTTATTATGCTCCATGGTACCATAATATTACAATATCACCCAAGATACGTTGTATCCCATATTTAAGCCCAATCGAACGCCATGTACATAATATGGTACTATATTATGGTACCAGATGATATGCATCATAGTACCATCATATTACAATGTCACCGAAAATACGTAGTATACCAAGTTTAAGCCCTATTGCCGCCATGTACCTAATATTGCTATGTCATCAAATATGGTACTATAGAAGGTACCACTTTATATGCTTCATGGTACCATAATATTACAATGTCACTGAAGATATAGTATACCAAGTTTAAGCCCAATCGAACGCCATGTATCGTAATATAGTACTATATTATGGTATCACTTGATATGCTTCTGAAAAAAACGGCGTCCAGTTGGCTGGAAAAGGACGATCGATGACATTTCTCATATAAATTTACATATAAAATGACAGCGATATTCATTTCATAGCTATCGCTAACGCCGTTTTTTCCCGATTTTACGATATGAACTTGGTATGAACACAATCGAACGTCAGGAAGTGGTAGAACTATAATAATAGTAGAACAATACTTATTATATTGTCGCCGAATTACAATGAAAATTCAGGATTCAATTATACAATCAAACGTCAGGAAGTGATTGTAATTTAGCTCATAAGATTTAATTCCATCTAACATGGCAAACTGAAAAAAACAGCTCTGATCTATTTTAATATGTTTAAATGATGTAGCAAATTTGAAGGTAAGCTTTATCAGGAAGTATTACGATATGAATTACACAATGGCAACACTGCACAAAATTCTTTTAATTTTGTTTGTAGAAAACTGTTTCTTTTTAAATTTATTGCCATCTATTATGTAGTAGCGAAACTACGACATCAAGAGATCTGATTTGGAGACAGACTTTAAAGCCTGCCCCTTATACCTACAATTTTATACATGTAACGAGGCTTCTGTTGCGTAGCTAGATATTCTGTGCTTGTATTCTTTGTATCATGGTGTGGATCCAGTGGCTGACCTTGAAACGAGATTTTGCTGCCCATAGCATAGAGAAATA